TGTGTGTGTGTGTGTGTGTGTGTGTGTGTGTGTGTGTGTGTGTGTGTAGGACAGGTACAAGGTAGGACGGCCATGAATAGTGTGGCCAGCCCCTCTGTTTGTGATCAAACAGAGATGGAACTGGAATACACAGAGCTAGCAGACTCTACTGGGATCCTCTGGGCCCCAGATGCCTTAATGTCCGCGATGTCCAAAGTAAGGATATCATTCTTATTCATAAATAAAGTGTCTTGAAGGGTTTGGAGGAGAGAGGGAGAACACTGGTACCAAGCCTTTGGACATGTGACAAGTTCCATGATTCTTTAGAGGCCTAGGAGTAAAAGGAACAAGGACAGGGAGCTCTCAGGGTCAGAGAAGCCTCAGTTGTTCCTTTCTTTAGCCCCATTATAAAGGAAAGAGAAGAATAGGGTCTTCAGTGAGGCTCTGAGGAGTCGTCCCTTGTCCCCAGCTCTCAGCTTCTCCTATGTGGCTCCTTTAAAGATACTGTGTGGATCTGAGCCGCCCTCAGGGGCTATACCCCCTGCCCCAGAGGCTGACAGACTGCTCTGAAGAACCTCTGTCTCTATCCCATCTGCACCTCTGCTGATTAGTCACCTTTCTTGATCATCTATCATAGACGGGAAGTTTCAGTGTCTTCCTTACATGGAGCTCAAGAGTTATAGAGACAATGGCCGTGAAGAACTCAGTGCAGTACCCAGTATTTCACAGGCCTTTGGTACCAGGGCCTGGTTTCATTGGTAGCATGGAGTCATAGCCCATCCCACTTTCCAGTCATCTGCCTGGAGTGGGCACACTTACCAGAACTGGCTCGTTTGGACATCTCTCCGCTCAGCTCATTGGCTGGGTTCTGAGTTAGAGCTGACTTTGCTCTTGACCGTGCTGTCATTTGTTCCCATGGACTCCCAGGATTCCTGGGTTTCCTGTCAAGGCCTGTGTCCCAGCAGTGGGTCTCGCTGATTTCAGGCCCCAGTCTCTGCCACTTCCCCTCTGTTATTCTCTAGGACTGGGGTAGCAGGTGAGACCTAGGGCCAGTCCATGGCTGTTTAGTTATGAGTGACCTTGGCTTAGGACAGTCCTGCAGTTCCCTCACTCTCTTGCCTTTAGCTGAGCCATGATGCTTTGTGTCTGCTGCCACCCACAGCCCTAGGTTGCCAAGTCAGGAAGTCCTACACTAAACCAGTATCCAAGATGTTTTGTTCCTACTTAGAGTTTGATTGTTTCAGCCTCTCAGGTATTTCATGTTCCCCTGTGACATGCTCTCTCTCCCCTCTCCCGTTCTTTAGTCTCACTGTCCCATTCTTCATCTAATTCTGGGCTCCCCACTCTCCTCAGGAGACCCTTTAATCATATGTATGAACTTTGCCAAATGACTCAACTGTCTACAGTGAGCAGTGCTCCAAGGGTTTTGAACCAGTCTGACTAAGGTGCTAACAAGCATAACAGATCCATGACTCTCACTTGCTTTATAACAAAGAACTCTAAGAGAGGTAGTGCTTCTGGTCAAATGAATGAGTCACTAGTGGTAGAATTTTAAGCTCCTATGGGGTTTGGAAATGGGGGTCAAATATTTGAGACTAAGCTGCCTTTACCGCTGCTACTCTCAGAGATCTGTTTGCTTCATGTTTTGAGGGCTTCACTGCTAAGTTGAAATATATTCAAACCATGACATCTTCAGTATGTAGTGACATTCTTTGTCACAGCAACAAACTTGTCTTCAAGTCTATTTCATGGTTCCTTTTATTTGCTGTTTACATGGTGTATATTTTTCTTTCACCTTCCAATCTCTGTATCTTTAAAGTGAGTCTCTGATACACACCATATCATTGGTACATCTTTTAAAAATCTATTTTCCAGTGTCTTTTAATTGGAAATTTTTGTTTGCATTTAATCTAAATGATAAGAAAAGATTATGTCTGCCACTTTGCTATTTCCTTCTTATATGTAATATATATTCTATTCCTTTGTTTTTCCATCACCACCTTCTTTCCTATTAAATAGATATTTTCTGGCTCATCATTTAATTATCTTACCTGCTTTATTTTAAAAATATATCCTTCTGGTACTTGCAATGAGGGTTACCATGAACATTTCAATTTATAATAATATATTTAGATCAAGAATAACTTAATTTTAGTAAGACATGAAACTTTGATTCTACATACCTCTATTCTCATCTTCTTTATGTTGATATGTATTTATTATCAACAGTTAAATCTTCATATATCCTGAACCTTTCGTGAAGACTTAAAATAATTGTTTTATACATTCATCCTTTAGTTTGACCTTTAAAGGGAGTTATGAGTGGTCAAAATGCAGAGAATAAATGGAATGTTCATCTATAGTTAGGGTGTTTATATCTCACCCTACCCACCCCACACTCAGGGACTGTCACAGACGATAAGAGAGGGTGATAAGATTGTAAGAGCTGGAGGTTGAGGAGGACTGGGCCAAAACAGCATCTTCTGAACATAGCTGGTCCACTGCAGTCATGCACTTACCGCTGCTGTGGCTGCCTGTACAAGATCTGTACAAGATCAAGCCGGTCTGCCTTCCCGCCTAGAGCCGAATGTGCTCATGAACCCCTGCCCTCAGCTGAGTAGCTACTGATGGCTTCTAGGGATGGAGAATCAGTTTTCTTTAAGGATGTGGTCCCTGGGGGTCAACCATGCTCCAGTGAGTGGCCCTATGTTCATGAGTCCATGGGCAGCACTAATTGAACTCAGTTATCAGAAACACAAGAAGTTGGGGGAGAGTATTGAGAGTGGGGAGTGGGTTTGGGAGGAGTTGGGGGAGAAATGGGGGTTAATATGATCAGAAATATATGTATGAAGTTATCAAAGAATTAATAAATATTTATTTTAAAGAAGTTATAATTAAAGTGCATTTATATTCTCTTTCACATTTAAGTGTATAATTTTGCAGTGTGTTTTATTCCTTCATGTTTATTCATGTTATCCAGTTCTCTCAAGGTCACCTGAAGGACTCCCTTTAGTGTTTCTCAGAAGGACATACCTACCAGAATGAAACTCTTTCAGTTTCTCTTGATCTGGAAATATCTTAGTTTACCCTTAGGTTGGAAGTATCATTTTGGAGATAGAGAATTTTTAATTGACTTCCTTTGCTCGTTCAGCACCATAGCTATGCCATCCCATTGCCTCTGGCGCCCATGGGTTCTGGTATGAAATTAGCTAAGTCTCGTCACGGATCCCTTGTGGGAAGTGTCTCTTTTCTCGTTGTGCTTTCAAAGTGCTTGGTCTCTCCTGGCTGGATTTACATGTCCAACTATAGGTCTCTATCAGTACCTCCTGCTTACATGCTGTAGAGCCTCTTGGATGATTTGACTAAGTTGATGGTTTTCCTAAGTTTGAGAAGGTTTCTGCCATGACTTCTTCATATGTCTTCTCTGCTTCCAAAGCTCCACTACACATAGTTGGTATTCTTGATAGTTCCGTAGGTCTTTGAAGTACCATTTATTTTTTTTTATCCCATTTGTGTGTGTGTGTGTGTGTGTGTGTGTGTGTGTTCCTCAGTCTGGAGAACCCCAGTTGACTTGCCTTCAAAGTCACTGGTTCTTTCTTCTGCCTGATCAAATACAGATTGTAGGTACATTTTTATGATCATTATTGTACTTCATAGCCCCAGAGCATTCATGTCATTCCTTGTTAGGATCCCTCTGTCTTGGTTGATTTCCATTACTTGGAAAGATATGACTCACCCTTTCTTCTAGTTCTTCAGGCATGGCTTCCCCCAGGTCATTTGGGCATATTTAAAATGGCTTACATTTAGAGTGGCAAGATAGCTTAGTGGGTAAAAGCACCAGCCACAAGAGCCTAATGACCTTAGCTCGAGTCCAAGAACCCATGGAGGAAGGAGAGACCTGGCTCCTGGACGTTATCTTCTGACTTCCATATATGTGTGTGGCAGTTGTGCACTCTACACACGCACATACACACACACAGCCCACTGGTGATAATAATGCATAAATACTGTTTAAAAATAGCTTATATTTAAAGTCTCAAATCTGCCCTGTGTGCAAATAAAGTCTCCCTTTTCTTCTGTCACAGTGCATATAGTACAGTGAGAATCTGGTCTCCTTGTCAGCTGCTCCCTGGAGTCTCTCCTCCCTTCTGCATGAAATGAGTGAAGATAACATTTAGACAGTTGATACTCTGACCTCCAAACTGAGCTCCCAGAAGCCCTTGCTGAGATGAGCTCCCCAAGGAAGTAGTCAATCCCTTGGGTGGGAGAAGGGATGCTGGTGGCTTCATACCTCCATGCGCAGCAGAGACCCTGCCAAACTCTGCTGGGGAAAGGACAAGTGTGGGAAGGTTGAAAATCAGATCTTACATTTGAAAAAAATAAAAGGTAGTTTTCTGCAAAACAATGAAAGTAGAGTCTACAAGCAGGAGTCTAATTCCTAGGTGCCTGCTGGTTGGGATCAAACGCCCTATTTGGTTTCCAAGTCTGCCCCTGCCCCTGGGAGCATGATGCCTCTCCCTGTCTTCATGCTCAGCCAGGAGCCACAGCATTTGCCTCTCATCAGTTAACCCTTCCCTCCTTATGATGGATGTGAGGATGCAAGAGCTGTCTGAATCTCCAGCACCCCTACCTTGCTATCTCTGTTGGTGTTTCTATTAGAGGACATATTCATTACCAGTAACAGTCACACTGAAGAACCTTCCACATGATTCATTTGGGCCAATTTAATCAAAGTGTCCTACTTAGGAGAACATTGCTGAGAATGTTGGGATTTGGGGAAACCATATGGTGTTTGGCCGAGGACCTGAAATCAATGTGGAAACTGGATAGCACAGGTGAGGTGGGGCCATTTATCATCCTGGCTGAATCAGGTCCAATAACCGACCCTTGTTCCTAGCTGGGACTTCATCAAGGCTATGGCTCAGATCCAAGAGGGTTATGTGCAGGCACTTGTCATGGTACCAGGAAGCTCCTCTCTCTACAAATGAG